CTGAACTTCCGGTCTCCAACTAGATTAATAAGGTACCTTACAGAAATGCCCTCACAAAAAAATCAGAGAACGTAAAAATCTTGTATTACCTTTCTGTTTGTGATATTTTGTGATTAAACTGGTAATATTTTATCTTTTCGTAATATGTGCACTTTGGCATATCAATTAGCATTGTCCCTTGGTGCCTCTTGCAGTTGTGTCACTTTAAATAGTACTGACTCCTCTGCACCAGGCACGAGGATGACATACCAGTTATGTGCAACTTCTTACAACATCTTACCATATCATTAATCATGTTAATGTCCCGATACACATTTTAATATGCACCCACCATGCCATATAGCACCGTCCCTTGGTGCCTCCTGCAGTTAAACTAGATATATTTAGCCTACTCACAGAATTCTTTTTTGTTACTTTCTAGAGGTGTGCCTGAGACGAAGGTTTTATATATACTCCTATATATATATATATATATATACGAATATGTGAAAACTGTTGTTTCTTATTTGTGTTTGTAACTATGTATACTGCATTGTTTATCATATTTGTAAAAATAATATTATACTGATACTATATTATGCTCCTTGTGAGCCCATTTGATGGAAAATAAAGCATTTGTAATATCGTTTCATAAGGAGATATATCATTGCATCTGGATCTAAAATATAGATAATATCGTCAATATTATCACGAAATCTCTCATGAAAAAAAAACCTTCTTTATAATAAAACTTTCTTTCATTTTGTTGGCGTGAGGAAAGAAAGAACTTCGTACATTATCATACAGCGACACCTTTAAACAATGATATTCACTGTTTTTGAACATACAAAATACGGTGAACATAAGATTGGACTGGCAGTGATCGTCCATTTAAACAAGAACATACAAAATACGGTGAACATAAGATTGGACTGGAAGTGATCGTCCATTTAAACAAGAACATACAAAATACGGTGAACATAAGATTGGACTGGCAGTGATCGTCCATTTAAACAAGAACATACAAAATACGGTGAACATAAGATTGGACTGGAAGTGATCGTCCATTTAAACAAGAACATACAAAATACGGTGAACATAAGATTGGACTGGAAGTGATCATCCATTTAAACAAGAACTTATTCGCTATTAATACTGCCTTCCATGTATGAAGAGGTTTTGGCTCACATCCAGAAATAAATGATAACAGAAAGGTGCTCGCAAAGAAGTGAGATAGAACTCTCTGAGAATGTATGTGTAGAATTTCGCAAGTAAAAAACCGTACAAAGAAAGATGTTTATACTTTGTCATATAAATAGTACTTCCTGGGCAGCTATTTAAAAGCGCTGTTCCTTTGCTTTTTGTGTTTTTTGCTGTGCATGTACTGATTTTGTGTCATGAATGGATTACCCATATCCTCTTTTAATTCATATACTGCATGTTGTTTCATCCATGGCCATAGGAAGTCAGGGTACCAATAGATGATCAAAATAACACTTTAACCATTTTGTGCGTTCGGAGCGCTTTTCTGGATTTACTGTTGGACCAAGTATATACGACCGCATGCAATGGTTTGCTCATTTCAATAGCTACTTAACAACACCTCATGCAAGAGTGCTTCAGTGATTAACATATAAATTCATCGATGAAATCATTATCTTTCTACCCATTTTCGAAAGCTTGAACGATATATTTTTTTAAATATTGTAAAACAGGATGCAAAACTGAAGTTGTAACCATAGCAATGTTATTATTTATGCCACTAGTTAAGTATGTCGGTTACATGTACATAGTATTAAAAATAATAGAATAAATAGAATACGTTTTTCTGTAATAGATAAAGCAACATCTTGGCCTGATTCAACAACACTCAATTGATTGAATGATTGGTGGTTGCATAACGTCCAGTGGCAACAACAACATTAGAGGAATGATTAATTAGTTAATAGGATTTGGTGGCTACTGTCATAGATGTATATTGTATTTCAGTCAGATAACATGACTATTGATTGACCTCATGCCAGTGCCATAACCCAAAACCTGTTCAGAACAAAATGAGAGAATAGCCTCCTTGTACCTGTGGAGAAGAGGAGGGAACAGCTATAACAAGCTTAAGCAGCTTCAGCACATGTGACTACCGTACCTTATTAATCAAAATAAATTATTATTCTTTTGAAATCCTGCACACCCTAGCGATTCGCACTAAACCGGGAGTCTTGTGCCAATATATGTCTGGTATTTGTTCTTTTGGAAAATAAAAAAAAATACAATTAATTTACCTACACTGTATTGGAAACTTTGATCGCAAAAATGTCTTTACAAACAACATTAAATGATCCACAAAACCTCTATCCCTAATCTTAACCCTCACGCTAAAATCAATCAATCAATCAAACAAACAGGGTTTTACCCATATTTCGCAACCGTACGGCCTTCAACAATGAGAAAAATCCATACCGTATAGTCGGCTATAAAAGGCCCCGACATGAAAAATATCAAACAATTTAATTGAGAAAACTAACGGCCTAATTTATAACAAAACAAATATGACAGACATGAAGCAACGACCACCACTGAACTACAGGCTCCTGACTTGGGACAGGCACATAAAGAATGTGGCGGGGTTAAACATGTTTGTCAGCGCGTAACCCTCTCCATAACCTGGGACACGGTGGTGTAACAGCACAACATGAGAACAAACTATAAAAATTGAAAAAGGCGTAACTCATCAGATCGATACAAAGCAGAAAAACATCAAACATAAACACAGACTGGACGTGGCAGGCTAGTTATCCATCCCTCATCCCTAACAACAAAAAGGACACTAAGTACAGATCTGAGAGTACTCGCAGCTACTAACAGCTAGTTCAAAGCCAATAACAACTAATAAAAAAATCATATATCTAAGACTAATGTATAGTTGTTTATTTAGTGACAATCATATCGCATTTCCTCATTTTTATACTTGCGACAAATGGCCGATTACTTTGATTTTCCAAGTGCAGACTTTCCATTTTTTTGTAACCACATTCCAAAGGAACTAACGTATGGAGTTAATATCTCCAAGTTCATATGATATTCATGCGTTTTTCTTTTTTGTTTCCTTTGTTAAGTTATCACAATTGACTCACAGGAAAGTAACTAAACAATGGTTCTTTATCATGTTCTGGTTGAGACGAAGTCAGAATTCTTTATCTAGTTTTAGTCAAGTTAAGTCGTCTCTTCAAACGTTTTAGAGTTGACCGCTTATCACCGGGTTTGTAATTACACGAGCAACACGATCAGCTTCGGTTTTTGGTGGGATTCGTGTTGCTCAGTCTTTAGTTTTCTATGTCGTGTTTTGTGTACAGTTTTTTTTTTTTTTATTTTGTTGTCTTTTTTCTGGTTTTTTTTATGGCGTTGTCAGTTTATTTTTGAATTATGATGAGTTTGAATATCCCTTTTGTATCTTTCGTCTCTCTTTTACAGTTGATCGCTAAGGAATATCTGTGTGACCGATTACCAAGAACATGATCAATTTGTTTAGCCACACTGATTCCGCTCTCGTTACTTCGTTTATGCATTTATCACTGACTGCATTCAACATATCTTTGGATCGTTACTTACGATGTACAACATGACGGGTGTCGCTTGTGGATGAAGAACTCTTTAGCATCCGGGGCACTCCGGTTTCGAGATTATGTATGTGTTGCTCAATCTTAAGTTTGTGTGTAGTGGTTGTTCTCTGTTGCTCCTTTGTTCCTGGTGTACGCGTGTGTTGCACTATAGCGGGTCCATGGGCCGAAAAAAAATCAGCAGTTTCCTCCTTTTCCAGGTCGAAAACATTTATAAATTTCTTGATCCGCATCTATGTTGTCTGTCCTTCTTATATGCAATGGTTTTTCTTTTTATTGTCATGAATAAAAGAGGATGTGGCATTATGTCAATGTGACAGAAATATAACAACAAAATATACCAAAAGACATCTATAGAAGGCAGCGTACAGTCTTCGATACGTGACAGACACTTTTCTAGAAAAATATGTCAAACTTACTAATCGTCCCGAGTCTAGTGAGTGATAAACGAGGGTCTGGGTGGGAGAGGGTCTGTCATTTATGTGTTATTTAAATATTTAAGACATTTTTCTCCCTTTTCTTTGTTTTTTGTTTTTTTTGTTTTTTGTTTTTTGTTTTTTGTTTTTTCTATTTTTGTTTTTCTTTAATTTTTGCACTTTATTCTGGTTGTTTTTCCATTATTCTGTAAACCCCACCCAAGCCATCATGAACTGAGTTGAGAAAAAAACAAAAAGTCAAATGTTTGCAATCAACGCATAATTATCATTATTTTCCAAATAACAAAACTCATTTAGATAATGACTCAAGATTACCACTAACGAGGGACATGCACATGAATGATTTTAATCATCTCCAACTTATGTAAGTTTATTCTCCATTTTATTCACGTCTTTTACAGTATATGTTATTAGTATATTTATATACAGGAAATGAATGTTTTAACCATATGAAAGGTCCTCTTAAAAACCATTAAAAATCATTAAATGCCGAAAATTTTCAGGAAAAAAGAAGTAAAATAATGCACCTTATAAAATGAAATTGTGTCACGGTATAATTTGCTTAGAAAAGATCAGAAAAGGAAAAAGTATCTCCAACTTTGGACCTCAGAATGGCAACTAAATAATGAAACTATGAAAATTAAAATATCTGTACAATGATTCGTCTTCAATATGTCATAAATTTTTTTTCGATATCAGTCAAAAGTCAATCCTTAAAGAAGTTTCATAGAAAGTTATATATTGATCCCATCTGGTATACTTGATTATTGTTCCAATTTTGTTGTTTTCAAAAATAATGTTTCTTCTTCTTCTTCTTCTCTGGTTGGATATATTTTTAATTTTTAATTCTTTTCCGGATAAAATACGGATCTGTCTCCACGTGTAAATTTGGTTCTTTACTTATATAACCGGAAATCGTTGTACTTAGCTAAGTTGTAGGTACGTTTTCAGTTTGGAACTTTCATTCTCTTTTATTGCTAAGCTTGTCAACAACACTGATTATGACAGCAACCGAATCCGCAATCTGAAGGATTATTCTCACACTCACAATATGTAGTATTTCAGTAGAAATACTTTAAGGTAGAGCTTTTCTCTGGTATTCCACTAGCAAAACTATTCAACCGATGTTCAATCGGGTAATTAAAACTGTAAATAAAGTAGAGATCAGTAGAGGACTATAGAACCATGGCAAAAAAAAGTGAAAACCCTTGACACCAATACAGATATCCATTTACAAAAATACAACTGATCATTCAACAATAGTTCATGGGGCTCCAGTAGGGTAACCCCTTAATGTCACAAGGTCACATTAAAAATTGTCACAGATCCACAGGCCACTCTTTATCAAACTATACAATTCCAAACTGATCTTCATGTTTTGAACATTTTGAAAGGTCACAGGTCCTTTTCAAGGAGTTGTCAGGCTGCAGGTTGGATTTGACGATGTTGGACCTACATTTCATGCTAAATGCTCTCATGACTAGAGAAAAGGTATTGCTTTTATTGTATGGCATTGATCGCCCACCCCTTTTCTGGTAACAAGACACTTTGGCATTAAGACATTTCGACACCATGTTGAAAAGACAATTCAGCACTGTATGCACTTGTTGGTATCAGGACTTTTCTGGACCAAGACAAATCGGCACCTTATTTTTATGCCCCAGCTGTAGGCAACAGGGGCATTAAATGTTACCCTTGACCGTCTGTTCATCTTTCCGTCCGTCTATCCAATTTTTGATTCAGCACTCAACTTAAGTTTTCCTCTTTAAAATTTTGTGAAACTCCTACACCATGCTAAGAACCAAAACTAGCAGACAGAGTTCGAATTTGGGCAGTGAGTCTCTTACCATTCTAGAATTTTGCCCCTTTTAAACTTTTTAAAATTGCAACGCTTGAGCAAGGGCATTCGTGTCCTCAGACACATTTTTCTTTTATTTTCTATACAGTTGCTATTAATTTATGTTCACAAAAAAAATATGTTAATAAAATAACATAAACCATACTTGATTATGCTTGAATGTACACATATAATCAAAACATAATTGATTTCAGTGATCTGGAAGGATTTTTTCTCTATGGGCCCAGGGCCCCCCAAAATAAATTCAATGGGCCATTTTTAGAATTAATGGGCCATGTTGTCAAATGAGTGGGACATTCGTTTACAATAAAAAAAAATAAAAAAAGTGTATATTTCACTGTACTTACAAGTATGATTCTAATTAATATCATGGATATTGTTCCTGTGATTTTGTAATTTCAATTTCAATGAATATACAATAACTTCTTCCAAACCGGACAATATTTACGATAACCTTTATTTACAATGTTAAAACTGGTACTGTTCCCTTGTTCATGTTCATGTTTTTTTTACATTAAATTTGGGTCTTCGTCGATACCATACTTATTCCAGACGTTCCGTATTAGAGGACGTTTCTGGCATTTCCTCTGCACTTGTATTATTATTACTTCATCACGATGACAAGAATAACAGTAGAGAGCAACGTTAATTGATAAGACACAACAACAATTTGCTGAAGGCATGTTTACAAAATGTCAAAACGAGCTAAAGACCAAAAAAATTGTCAAGGACAGTTAAGCCCCTTTTATGGAGACAAATACTATACCATTCATAAAAAGGTTTTTGGGTTTTTCAATCGAAATAATAGCAAGCTTACTTAAAAGATTATAATTAGAGACGAATTCTCGCCTGTACTAGCCAATTTTCACAAATTTAAAGTTGTTTATAAAAAATTATATCATGAATGATGGTTAATTACGTTTTTTGAGTAATCAGTCATACCGCATGTTGCTATTATTACCATAGGAAAACACCAGAGACGTCCCAAAAATATATAAGTGCTCCTATCATTGGAGTAAACACTACACAGTTGTGTACTCACACATGGCGGCACGAAATACGATCGGAAATCCAGTTGACGATATCTCTACGTTTCAAAACGAAGTGAAAAATATCATGCGCCACTCGGGCGCTTACATTTGTCACTCTATGCGCCATTTCTGGTCGATAAGCGCAATTGGCGCAAGGCGCACATCCTTCCCGATCACTGGATTTTGAAGTTATGCATTTATCAATATTTTAAGGAGTCATAATAAATTTTTTTGCAATGAAGATCAAACGTGCACAGCATACAAATGTTTGTACATATATATAGATGGTGATCGTTTGATCTATAAAATTCTAAAGAAAACAAAATACCTGTAAACAAATTTTATTGTTATTATAATTCCAATTGTTAAATAAAATTGAGAATGGAAATGGGAAATGTGTCAAAGAGACAACAACCCGACCAAAAAGAAGAAAACAGCCGAAGGCCACCAATGGGTCTTCAACACAGCGAGAAAAACCCCCACCCGTAAGTGGGCTTCAGCTGGCCCCTAAACAAAATTGTGTATTAGTTCAGTGAAAATAGAAGTCACACCAAACTCCAAAACATATAAATGAACTAAAATTAAAAAACATACAAGACTAACAAAGGCCAGAGGCTCCTGACTTGGGACAGGCGCAAAAATGTGGCAGGGTTAAACATGTTTTGTGAGTTCTTAACCCTCCCCCTATACCTCTAGCCAATGTAGTATAAACAAACACACAGCAATACGCACAGTAAAACTCAATTTAAAAGAAGTCCGAGTCCGATGTCAGAATAGGTAACATCAGAAACTAATCAAAATGACAATGATATATAAATTAACAAAAGACTACTAGCAGTTACTGACATGCCAGCTCCAGACCTCAATTAAACTGATTGAAAGATTATGTCTTCATCATATGAAAATCAAGCACAATCCCTCCCGTTAGGGGTTAAGTATCATACCATCATAAAATATATTTATATAAGAACATAACCTGTATTATGCATTAAGCCATAACGTGCAAACCATATTGAGTAAAATCCCTAAAAGATCATAATGTGTCAAAACTCTAAATCTCCCATAGAGCCTCATAGTGTATAAAATTCTATTCATCCGTACGGGTACTCTTCCCTAATTATACAATCTACAAAAATGTACAATTCTAAAACTGGACAGGATTCTTGTCAAGGTGCCATTTTATGAATCTGTACCTCCACTGGACGTGTCCTGTTTATCCTACCTGATTCTAAATCTGGACAGGGTTCTTGTTAAGGTGCCATTTTATTTTAGCTTATTCCTATCATAAAAATTATTCTTCAGCTGGCAAAAAAGTACTGGAAACAGTTTTTAAAGTCAATATTTTTTACCAGAAATTGACTTCTGTATTCATTCACTACTAGAATATGGTGATTGGCTTACCCTTGTAAATGCAATTTAAGCAGAGGAGGTTGAAATTTTTCGTTTGCACATGTTTACCTATTTACAGCCATAAATTTGTAAAGAAGGCCTATTTATTATCAAATGATTGCAAGCTAATATATTTAAATGCATTATTTAGAACACTGGAAACAATGTAAGAAATTGTAGGTGATTTAGGGGATTAGTTCTAGTTTGATGCATTTGGTCAGAAAAAATGCTGAAAATGTATTTAGTTTATACTGAATTGAAGGACTTCACTTGTTTTTGTACATTTGATATGTTTTTATATGCTTTCTGATTTTTTTTTACCTGCATCGCCAAAGGCAGAAGCAGGTCTAGTAACTCCTTGTCTCTTTCCGTGTCTGAAAGAAAGAAAGAGACGAAAGTTTTCTTGGCTTCTATGAAAGGGAATGATTTGATATTTGGTATGCAGTACATAATGTTGAGTTGTAGCCGAGTAAGTGATTTTTACATCTGTCTATAGCCACTTCCTGTTTGCCAATAGTTTACAACACCCATTGTACGAGGAAAATTTTCGTCTTATTTTTCTTGGCTCACATTGAAGTGAATGATTTTAATATTTGGTCTGGGAGTGATAAGTTATGCTTTGGAATACATGTTACCTCAATCAATTGCATGCAGACCCGGTATTGATCTTGTTCATTGTGTTAAAGCTTTAGAATTTGATCAAATTTATACATACTTTTCAACAGATGAACTAACACTTTATAAAATAATAAATGTGGATGTCGTCATAGTTATGTGGTATGACAAGGATGTAAGGCCGAATTCACTTGAAACTCTAGAGTTAACTTTACTAACTCGGGTTTCAACAATCCGAGTTTACTCGAACCTCTCGAGTTAACCCCTCTTACCCCAGTTCCAACCCTCACTGAGCCAGAGTTAAACTCGAGAAACCCTTGAATGACGTCAAACCAATCAGATTTTTCCTTTTTTTATGCTTAGTCAGGGCCTTACCCTAGAGTTACTTAGAGTTGTTCCAAATAGTGGGTTCACATGATACTCTTGAAACTCTATAGTGGACTCTAGAGTTTCAAGTGAACTCGGCCTAAATGACTATAGGTCACAGTACAACCTTCAACACTGAGAAAAGTCTAAACTGTCTATAGGTCACAGTACAACCTTTAACACTGAGAAAAGTCTAAACTGTCTATAGGTCACAGTACAACCTTTAACACTGAGAAAAGTCTAAACTGTCTATAGGTCACAGTACAACCTTTAACACTGAGAAAAGTCTAAACTGTCTATAGGTCACAGTACAACCTTTAACACTGAGAAAAGTCTAAACTGTCTATAGTGTCACAGTACAACCTTCAACACTGAGAAAAGTCTAAACTGTCTATAGGTCACAGTACAACCTTCAACAGTGAGAAAAGCCTAAACTGTCTATAGTGTCACAGTACAACCTTCAACACTGAGAAAAGTCTAAACTGTCTATAGGTCACAGTACAACCTTCAACACTGAGAAAAGTCTAAACTGTCTATAGGTCACAGTACAACCTTTAACACTGAGAAAAGTCTAAACTGTCTATAGGTCACAGTACAACCTTTAACACTGAGAAAAGTCTAAACTGTCTATAGGTCACAGTACAACCTTTAACACTGAGAAAAGTCTAAACTGTCTATAGGTCACAGTACAACCTTTAACACTGAGAAAAGTCTAAACTGTCTATAGTGTCACAGTACAACCTTCAACACTGAGAAAAGTCTAAACTGTCTATAGGTCACAGTACAACCTTCAACAGTGAGAAAAGCCTAAACTGTCTATAGTGTCACAGTACAACCTTCAACACTGAGAAAAGTCTAAACTGTCTATACAATATGTGATGTATGTCAAGCTCTAAATCAGCCTAAGTATAAAAAATACCAATAACAAATTGTCCAAATAACAAAAAAACATTTAGATATAATATAAGACAACCACTGAAAAGGTTTCTGACTTGGGACAGACATGCAACTATATTGTGGGGCTTAAAGTATTACCAGTTGACAGAATTTGTACACTAGAAACTAAGTATAAAAAGTAAAAGTATGTGACTTTTGAATCATTATTTGTTTTCAGGTACACAAAAATTGAAGGCAGCTTAATCCTGGAAGGTGAAAGTGGAGATGAATTTATGGTAAATAACAGGATTTTCTTTTTCAAAATATGAGTGAAATCAAACTTATCAAAGATGCAGAGTCCTCGTCAACATCTACTGAATTGAATATGTATTTAGAGAACTCAATGGATGCAGTACGAACAAACATAGGGACCAAACACATTGTCAAAAAACAACTGGACGATGATGAGAAGTTAGGACTGTTAAATGTTAGGGCATTTTTCTTCCTCATCCTGTGGTATATATTCAGTGCATTCACATTGTTCTTAAACAAGTATATTTTGACAACACTGAAAGGAGATCCAGCAGTACTAGGTATGTACATTACAATGTAGCATGAAATAGACTTTTTTTTATGTAAGTTTCCAGAAAAAAGACCTGTGTCAAGGGACATAACTCTTCAAAATCAAAGGAATGTTTGTGATTTTCATAAATATATTTTTAAAAGTTGCTAAGTAACAGATAATGATGATTGTAATTTATTTAATATGAATTTTGAAAAGCATGTATGAAACACATGAAACTTGTCCTGAATATGCCTGAAATATTTCTACTGGATTTTAAGCAATCAAAAAGTCAATACTGTCACTTAATCATGTTTATATTCAAAAACATAATTTTATAAATGTAAAGGATATATATCAAGGTGAAACAACTCGCAGCACTTCACCATGTGTAACAAAAATAATATTTGTAAGAAGATCACATGATTTGCATGAATCTGCATGAAATTTTTGTTTTAAATTTGAACCTCTATTTGAAATTACAACTTGTTCACAACATGTATATTGGTCAAGCCTTATAAATGCTTGGATAATTTTAGCCAATTTTAATATTTATATTAACACGTCAAACTGATAAATGATTTGAATTTTTAGGTGCCATGCAGATGGTGATGACCACAATATTTGGATTTCTACAGATGTATCTTCCATTGGGGTTTTATAAACCTGTCGTAAGGGAAGGGAAACCTTCTAATTTCTGGAAAAACATGATATTAGTTGGATGTATGAGGTAATTAATACTGAAATTGTTAGAGAATATGGGGGTTTGGATGGCACTTGAATTATTTTTGTATGGATGGGGGCAGGTCATGAAGTTCAAATTGTGTGGTTATGTATGCAAAGTAAAATGCATTTGTATGAGTGATTCATAAAAAAGTGCCTTATCAAGCCCCATATTGTTTTTTTCTGGAATAGCCCTAAGCCCCTGAATAACAAGGAAAAAGTACAAAGATACCAAGATACCAAGGAGCAATTAAATTCAAAAATCAAAAAATCAAAGACTAACTACACCATCGGCAACAAAAAAAAGGTGAATAGACAACAAAATTCCTAAGATTAGGATTGAGCAACAACAACAACCCTTTTAAATGAGGAGATGTGGTGTGTTTACAATGAAACAACTATGGACCAAAGACTTAAGTCCAAGGATGAAAAATATCGAGGTCACCATATGGCCTTTTTAAATGAACATTAACCATTCCGAACAAAATATATTAAGCTATATCAGGCCCCTTGATAACAATAAAACAATTCAAAAGAGAAAACCAACAGGTTTATTTAAGCTTATAACATTAAAGAAAAGCAATTATGGCAGATAGCAACCAACAACAAAACACCGGCTCATACAGTTTACAGGCTCCTTGGTTTGGACAGGGACATTAATAATGTGGTAGGATTAAACATGCTCTACCTCAGACAGTTGTGTTACAGCCCAAATTACAACCAACTTTGAAAATCATTTGAAAAGGGTCTGTCTCTTTGGATTGGTACAAATTAGCTGACTTTTATTTACATTTCAGATTTTCAACAGTAGTCCTAGGGCTGATAGCATTAAAGTATGTAGCGGTATCATTTACAGAGACCGTTAAAAGTTCAGCGCCATTATTTACATGTTTTATTTCCTATGCTTTGATTGGAGAATACACAGGAATGTACACATTTATGTCGCTCATTCCAATTATGAGTGGATTGGCCCTGTGCTCTGCATATGAACTTAGTTTTAATATTAAAGGCTTTATTGCAGCCCTAGCTACCAATTTAACTGAATGGTATGTATATATATGTATATACAGTATTCACAATTAAACTTTTGAACTCTTAAAATTAGCTAATAAGTTATATAAAATTCCATTGAACAATATTTAAAAAGTAACTGTTGTGACATATTTTCTTTTGGTATTGGATCACTGGTGAATTTGATTTATCTGTTATAGCAAGGTCTTATAAGTACACAATTTTTCTTGCAAAAAATAGTTTTTAAAAAAATTCACAATTCTGAAGACTTATTGGAAATCTAGCCATTAGTAAGTTTTTCACTTGTAATATCGATCAGATGCGACATAAAAATAAAACCCAAACTTTTGTGTGAGTGTGTGTGTGCAAATGAATGAAAATAACATTTTATCAATTCTGTGAGTCTCTCTTTTCTGGATACATTCAAACTCAAACATTTGAAAGCCAAGTACGCATAAATACATGAATACATGAGGGAAAAAAATCTAAAAAGAATAGACAAATTTATTTAAATTCAACTTTACAACTGTTGTTATTTGTTATGAATTTACATGCATACCGGGTATTTGTTTTACTGGTGTTTTTTGGAAGACTGATTAAAATTTTTTTAGAAAACCCTATAAAATGAGCATCATTTGTAACTTAGAATTCATAAGTTGTCTACACTTGTTTAGAACCATTTTGTTGATTGTAATACATTTCCATGTTTGGTATATATTATTTGCTCTTAAATCACATTTATTTATTACATACTGCTTTCTCTTTCTAGGTTTTTTAACAATGTTGATAGGTACTTGAAATGTATATTAATTTTTTTCCAGTTTACAGAATGTTTATTCTAAAGTGCTAATTAGTGGTGATAAATATAGATATACGTAAGTATAATTAATTTCTATTTAATATAAAGAAACAATGTTTTACCAACAAATTTGGCTGTTTCAGGACACAGGGTAATTTAATTGCTTGTTTCCCAAAATGAAAATAATGTCATGCCATTGGTTGAATTTCCTTGTTTGGGTCATTTTAAGCAATTTTAAAAAATTACCCAGAACTCATTAGATTCTGAAATGGCAAATCTCCAGTAAACCGTTTTTAAAGGCAGTGCTTTAATGCCTTTCTAGTTGCCGGGTTAATCCTTCCTTCCGCGATATCCAACTTATCTACGTGGGGGGTCATTAGGCTCCAAGTAGATCCGGAAATGTTGAATTCTCTCCTCTTCTTATTGTGATATAAAATGTTTTTTGTTTCATTTCATTTACATTGGTAAATAGAGAAACGATCATTGTGTTTTGTTAGTTTTAAAAACTTTTGATATATTTGTATTTTGCATTATAAGCAGTCAACCGATTGACAAACTAGAATTATTTGAATTCCGTGTGGAAAGAGCTCGGGTTAATTTCGAGTGTTATCTGCAATCTAGATGTTTATAAATCATTTCAGTCGTTGATATAATAATTAAGAGTCGACCGAACATTAATTATATTATACAATTTAAAGCGCATTTCTGTCTATGCACGTGAACCCGTCTAACGTTATTGTTATTTCGCAGTATATAAAGTAGCAAATTATCGTTCCTGAATAGGTGGCGCCGTGGTAGCCGATCCTGTTCCTCAACTTCCGGTTTCTGCACTGTGCAACTATTTCAGTTACATTTTTAATTAACGATGCCAAGTACTTGTTGTTGTGTTCCTGGATGTCATTTAAGAGGAGGACATGCATTTCCAAATGACTTAAAAAGAAGGAAAAGTTGGATCAACGCCATGGCCCAAACGCGGATTGGACGAGAACACGATGAAATCGTGGAGTCCATCTCAATCAGCTGTTGTTTGCAAGGCACATTTTACTGAAAAAGACTACGTGCAGGAAACTATTCATGGTAAAACTCTATTTTCTTTTTGAAATATATGTTATATATGTAATCGCCATGCGAATAAACCAAAGTATGTTTACAACCGCAATTATCGTTTTAGAATAAAAGGGGGTGGTTAATTCAAGACGTCATAATTTTTTGGATTACGATTCAATGTGATCTGTGTGAGATTTTTTGGTGATTGCTACAATTATAATGATTTCTTACAAGAGGTATATCATACTGAGAATTATTTTAGCAGTAATTATGCTAATGTAGTAATGACAGGAATGCATAAGCTATGCCTCATAGACTTTCTTGAAAAATATCAATGACAATGTTAACAGGAACAAAACAGTAACATGCTCTCATCTATATTATAGTTATTTAGGTACAGACAATGTACGTTTGTTGCATAAGTCTCTCATTGTTTGTCCTTTGGATTTACATAACATACATTGAATCAGGCAAACATAGTTTTATCCAGATTGTAATGAATAAATCTAGTTAATATTTCGCCAGGTAATACAAAGTATACATTGCTAATGGAAGTTCATTTAATTATCAAAAAACTAATGTTTTATAACCTTTTTCAGGGCGCAAACCCACCATACAGAGACTTAAGTCTACTGCCATTCCCAGCCTATTTTCCTGGACCAAGCAAGAGACTGAATCGTCCGCAAAAAGAAAAATCAGGGCAGTTTCCTGTGAAAACAAAAGAAATAAACTTGATGAATATTGTAGTAGAAATCTAGAGGAAAGTTTTGATTGTAAAGTTGGTTTTCCTGAAGAAGTCATTCATACTGCAGAAAGTATTTATGACTGTCCACCACCAACTGCCGAGCTAATGTTAAGCTTCCAAGATGGAATTACACAAACACCATCAATGTCTATGTTTTCAGCAGAGAATTTTGAAATGAAGACACGTGACACAGCCATGCATTTTTATACCGGTTTAGAGTTGTATACAAAATTTTTATTTGTTTTGACCACTTTGTCCAACAGCACATTGTTTGAGATACATATATTTTCAAATTGATAGGGTGTCAGTTGAAAATCAGTTTTTTTATGACTTTGATGAAATTGAGGCATTATACAACCAACTTTGAACTTTCTAGATTCTAGATTGAATCTAGTGTTAAGAATATTGTGTATACATGGATTGTTTTTATGCCTAAACAGTGGTGTGAGGCTAACACTTGGCCATCTAGTGGTTTAGTCAGGCATTTTTCGCCATCCAACTTCAAATTGAAGTTTCCTACGACTTGGATTATTATTGACAGCACAGAATATCCCGTGATAAAACCTAAAGCTCCTAGAGCTCAGGCAACCTTTTCATCATATAAAAACAGAAACACTGAAAATACTTGTATGTTCAACGCCTGGTGGTTTAGTCAACTATGTCTCTAATGCATATGTTGGTTCTACCAGTGACTATGAAATAGTTGAAAGATGTAGAATACAAAATGTAGTTCAATTATGTGATCCAGGTGACAGTGTGATGGCAGACAAAGGTTTAAATGTGCAAGATTTGTTTGCTAACTTTTTTCAAAAAAAGAAACAGAATTAGTTCCAAAACTCTTATACGGGATAGAAAAGTCTCCAATTAACATGTGCACATAGAGCGAATTATTAGACTTGGCAAAACATACAAAATTCTCACAAATCCTATGAATGGAACTGAAACAAAACTTTCATCTGAAATAACATTTAGTTGTTTTATGTTGTGTAATTTTAGAACTTGTATTGTGCCAAAGGATGCAGAAATAAAAGTGACGCAATGAATTTTGTTCTGATATATATATATTTATAATTACATGCACATGTAAATTGTAATGCATATAAAAATAAGGAGATGTGGTATGATATTCAGTGAGTTTATCGAACTAAAGTGCATAAGAAATGGGTTTAAGCAGTTACAGGTGTTACTGTCACTGTACAGTCTCCAATAATGAGAAAAACTTGTACCGTGTAAAAAATTTCAGAGATCTTACCACTAAGTTTTGTTGTCTCACCTTGACTTTGATGAATTGTTTATATCTGTTGATGTAAATATAAAAAAGAAGATGTGGTATGATTGCCAATGAGACAACTCTCTACAAGAGACCAAATGACACAAAAATTAACAGCTATAGGTCACAGTATGGCCTTCAACAATGAGCAAAGCCCATACCGCACAGTCAGCTATAAAAAGCCCAGAAATGACAATGTAAAACAATTCAAACAAGAAAACTAACGGCCTAATTTATGTACAAAAAATGAACGAATATAACAAATATGCAACACATAAACAAACGACAACCACTGAATTACAGGCTCCTGACATGGGACAGCACATACATGTACATACAGAATGTGTCGGGGTTAAACATGTTAGCGGGATCCCAACCTTCCCCCTAACCTGGGACAGTGGTGTAACAGTACAATATAAGAACAAACTATAAAAATCAGTTGAAAGAGGCTTAACTCATCAGATAGATAAATACAAATACAAGTGGACGTGGTCGGGTAGTTGTACATCCAAACAACAAAAAGACACTAAATACAGATCTGAGAGTACTCGCAGTTACTGACAGCTAGTTCAAATCCACTAACAACTGATAAAAAAATCTTGCATCTAAGACTAAATTATCAATCCGTAAGTTCCCTTTAGAATTTTATAAATTTTAGATTTTACATTTCTGAGTTATGGGGTTTTATTGGGATTTTCCAGTTTTTGTCGAGCCTGCGACTTTTGTCGCAGAAAGCTCAACGTAGGGATAGTGATGTGGCAGCGGCGGCATTAGCTAACTTCTTAAAAGCTTTATATTTTAGAAGGTGGAAGACCTGGCTGCTTCATACTTTGTATATGGATGCCTGATCATGTTACGAAGTTTCCGTCAGCCACATGTCCAATGTCCTTGACCTCATTTTCATGGTTTAGTGACTACTTGAAAAAAAAGTTAACATTTTTTGTAATGTTAAATTCTCTCTTATTATAAGTAGTAGGATAACTATATTTGGTATGTGCGTACCTTGCAAGGTCCTCGTGCCCGTCAGACAGTTTTCACTTGACCTCGTCCTCATTTCATGGATCAGTGAACAAGGTTAAGTTTTGGTGGTCAAGTCCATATCTCAGATACTATAAGCAATAGGTCAAGTATATTCGATGTATGGAAGGAATGTAAGGTGTACATGTCCAACTGGCAGGTGTCATCTGACCTTGACCTCATTTTCATGGTTCAGTGGTTATAGTTAAGTTTTTGAATTTGTGTTTTGGTCTGTTTTTCTTATACTGTATGCAATAGGTCTACTATATTTGGTGTATGGAATGATTGTAAGATGTACATGTCTAGCTGGCAGGTGTCATTTGACCTTGACCTCATTTTCATGGTTCAGTGGTCAAAGTTAAGATTTTGAGTTTTGGTCTTTTTTTCTAATACTCTATGCAATAGGTCAACTATATTTGGTGTATGGAAATATTTTATGATCTTTATGTCAGTCGTGCAGGTTTTATTTGACCTTGACCTCATTTTCACAGTTCATTGCTCTGTTAAGTTTTTGTGTTTTGGTCTGTTTTTCTTAAACTATAAGCAATAGGTCAATTATATTTGTTGTATGGAAGAATTGTTAGCTGTACATGCCTGCCTGGCATGGTTCATCTGACCTTGACCTCATTTTCATGGTTCATTGGTCAATGTTTAGTTTTCTTGGTTAATGTTAAGTTTATGTGACAGTTGTAATAAAGCTTTATATTAAGGACTATCAACATAATATCAGTGATTAGTAAAGAAGGCGAGACATTTCAGCGTGTGCACTGTTGTTGGACAACAACTCAAAAATGCTTTAAGCAGTTCGCATGAAACTTTAGTGAATTATTTATAGCTATTGATGTAATCTCCCTATAGATTTTCATAAATTTCAAATATGACATTGAGAAGAAATTGAACTTTATTTGTTTATAGTCTGGCAACAGATTTATTAAGTATTGCGCAACAGCACAGTTTATTGCACAACAGCAAGAAATCTTTAATTGAATATAAATTCAGTTCATATAACCTATTTCAAGTTTTTTGACTACATTTATTCAGAAACTATAATATGTCAAATATTTAATTACAATCCAAATTCAGACCTGTATCAAGCTTGAATATTGTGTCCATTTTTGCCCCAACTGTTCAAGGTTGGACCTCTGCGGGTGTATCCAGCTGAGCTCAGCGAATCAGTTTATTTGTAAATTAAGAACTCCTTTTTTCATTCATAAATTACTTGAAACTTTGAAATATAATTTTGCTTGGAGTTATAGTTTCTAAAAAAGTATTGTCATTGAAAGAGTTGACATGTTGCAATGTACATTTATTCTACATAGTTCTATGGTACCAAATCAAAAGTTTATATAAAAGAAAGAAGTCAAAGGTTTCCCATCACAGTTTAGTTACATACATTTTTTTTGTACCTGAGGTCGTTGAATATAGATCATTATATAAATAAGGAGATGTGTTATGATTGCCAATGAAACAACTATCATCCATACTTACCAGTAACAAACCACATTTGCAGAGTTGAATAAAATACAGTTGATAACATTTACTTATTACTAAAAAGAAAATGCCTAACTATTTTAAACAGTATTTGAATATCAATTATATGGTAATTTTTATAAACTTCCTGTTACAAAACTTTGAATTTTTCGAAAAACTAAGGATTTTCTTATCCAAGGAATAGATTACCTTAGCCGTATTTGGCACAACTTTTTGAAATTTTGGGTCCTCAATGCTCTTCAACTTTGTACTTGTTTGGCTTTATAACTATTTCGATCTGAGCGTCACTGATGAGTCTTATGTAGACGAAACGCGCGTCTGGCGTATTAAATTATAATCCTGGTACCTTTGATAACTAATTTGACTATAAACATAGATAAAAAAGGTACAAACTGGACATAATGCACTAGTTCATAAACAAGTGAGAACAATCGCCTTCATATAGTGCTCAGAATATGACATTCATAAAACTTGTTCAATATCATTAGAGAACTCTAAATCTTAAATACTGAAAGCCACCTCTGATAAGTACACTGTACTATGCAAGATAATGATATAACTGGACTAAAAATACACACAACCTGTAATTAACTGCCTTTACAGCGCTTTCGCGCTTTGATTCTTCCCTTGGTAAACCAAGGGGAGATAATTAACATTAACAGAAAAATAAATGCAAGCCAACAAAATAAATCTTTTGTATCACAGTACTGGAGAAACAATTTAAGCATTTATATCCATCACAGCCTCTAACATTTTGTCTTCTCAATTCTCGCTCTATTTCAGACCAGCAGAACTACAATTTTACACAAATTTATCATCTATAGCAGTACAAATTCATGTTGTTTCTGCATGAAAATTCAATCTCTATTTCAGACCAGCAGAGTTACAATTTTAGTATATCATCGATAGTAGTACAAATTCCGTCATGTTTCTTCATGTAAATTCTCTATTTCAGACCAGCAGAACTACAATTTTACACAAGTTTATCGTCAATAGAGGTACAAATTTCAGCATGTTTCTTCATGTAAAATTTTCTTTTTCAGACCAGCAGAGTTACAATTTTACACAAGTTTATCATCAATAGCAGTACAAATTCCAGCATGTTTCTTTATGATAGATATGGATTCTGCCAGTAAAACATTTGATATTACTATGATCTCAGCTTACGTAATAAACGGAATATGTTTTCACTTCCAAAGTATATCAGCTTATGTATTAATGAGCTACATATCACCTGTAACACACAGGTAAGTGTAGATTTCAAACGTATATCAGCTTATGTTTTAATGAGCTAAATATCACCTGTAAATCACAGGTACGTGTAAACTTTATTTTTATTTACATTCTCAATTAAATGTTATATTCATGTTCTGATCCCTCTGGCCCTGTTTGAGTATGCTGTAATAAGGGCTGTTCGATTTAAACATACATGATACCCAGGGAAGGTACTTTCAAAATGGGGTAACCACCAATAGAGGTAAATTTAGAATTTCACTTACATTTTCTCTGTATTTGCCACCCACCCATATTTGCATTTAGAAATAAATACAGTTTGTATCAGGAGATCAACGCAGGAGACACAAAATCTAAACCCACTTCTATAAGAAATGGAGATATTTATTTATGTATCATTTGTGCATCATGTTTGTAATCCTACTATTTTCCTGCCAAAGGTTGGAGGTTCTCTCCAAGCACTCCGTCTTCCTCCACCTTTAAAAACTGGCCACCACCAAATAGCCAAGAGTGCTGAAAGTGGTGATAAACACCAACAATCAATCATTAACCAATATATTTCAACATAAAAGGTACTTAGCATCGAATATCTTAAAATGGGCTATTCATTCAAAACACTTTTTTGAAAATTTCTCAAACATTTACTGCAAAGCTCTCTAATTGCCCTATAAGTTGTAAATAAAATGTATATTTAAAGAATATTTAAATTTCTGTTTCAGTGTTGCCAACACAGTTAAACGAGCGTTCCTTATTTGGATATCTGTAATATTATTTGGTAACCCTGTAACATTCTTAAGTGGACTAGGGACTGTAATTGTTACCATTGGTGTTCTGTTGTATACCAAGGCCAAAGAAGTGGACCACAATAGGAGAGAACTTATACAGAGTTATCCAAGGGTAGGAGAAACGAAAGATGTTTGATTGTAAATTTTACCTAGTAGTTATTTTTCAAATGAAGACATTTATTCTTTGTACAAATTTTTTACTTATTGTAAATAAATTAATGTGGTTGGTAAATTTTTTATTATTTTTTACCAAAAAAATTAATTGTTCTTTGGTCCTAAAAAAATGACTTTGTTTCTTGGTTTTAGTCAAGCACAAAATTTGTGAAAATGACCATTAAATATACTTTCTCAGTATTTGGAATAATTCCCAAGAACACAACAGCAACATTGATATTTGTATGGTAAAATGAAGCAATTTGGGATTGCATTTATTTCTGACATTTACCGAAAATATTTAAGTTGTTAAGAAAATTTGTTAGAAAGTAAAAAGGTATAATATTAAACCTATTTAATTTAATATTACCGTGAACCAACTTATTTTCAGGGATACTTAAGTTCTTGTTTATCCCTTTCTATCCAACATAGCGGCGATTTAATTTCGCAACTTATTAGTTTACTTGATGTATTTAGATAAGAGAAGATCTAAGTTTAACATTTTTGCGACGATTTATATTCGCATTATTTTTCTACTCGCTAAAGTCACGAAAATAAATAGGTTTACAGTATATTCATGCTCAGCTTGCTTCAGTCCTGAGCATCACTAAAAGGTTGGTCACATGACTACTTCCATTCCTTGCCCTGGTAATGATGAGCTTGGATTGGACTAGGATCACAACCTAACTAACTTAACTGTTAATCAGTATTAAAATCCAGAAAATTTGTACAAGGAATGGTCTTCAATTTACATTACATATTGTTGAAATGATTTAGTTTTATGATTGAGGGTAAAAATTCAATTAAATTAAAATTTCTTAATCGACTTAAAAAAGTTATTTGTATAGATAGGGATGTGAATTATTACTTACTAATTTCATTAACTTGCATAGAATTAATTCATTAATATCATATAGTATATACATTTTATGTTAGAGGCATTTAATTAAGCAATAAAAAGTGGCAACTAACCAGATAATTGATAGTATATATTTAATAATGACGATTTTATAGCCACCACTTTTTGTTGAATTTATGACATGTTTTGTTTGAAATATATTGAATTTTTGTTCCATGAATAATTTTCATTAGGATCATGTTAATGAAAAGGAAAACTTATAAAAAACTGACAGATGATAAATGATATCTGCATTTGGTTGTGAATTCAAAGATCTTCATAAATTATTAGAGAGGATGTAATGTAGTATTTAGAGGGTGCTTTGGGACCCAAATCTTCTGGGGATCAAAGGGTAAACTCACCTGAAGGAAAACATCCTTATAATGCATTAAAATCTTTAATCATTCGAGTATTACTCTATATCTAGCTATATACTATACAGTACAAAAAAAAAACACATCAAGAAACAAAAAGTTCCAAAATTATAAATAAGAGAATTAAATGCAGGCTCCAGCAATAATTTCATTTAAGAATAAGAAGATATGGTATGATTGCCAATGAGACCTCCTCACCAGACACCCAACGACATAGAGGCTAGCAACTATAGGTCACAATACTGCCTTCAACAATGAACAAAACTTACACTGCATAGCAAAGTATAAAAAGCCTTGAAATAACAAATGTAAAACAGTTCAAATTAGAAAACTAATGACCTGATTTATGTACAAAACAATAAACAAATACCACAACCACTGAATTACAGGGTCAATATTTGGGACAGGTGCATACAAAATGTGGAGGGGTTAAACATACACATTCAACTTTAGTCTAATAGAAGAAATGGGGCATTGTAATTTTCTTAAGAGAGGCATAGAAAACTGTATCATGTGTATTAGAATACTTGTCAAATTTGTGCTTTAGATGATCAGATGAATGTTTGTTTAACGTCCAGTGGTGTGAGCTATATAAAAGTATACCAAGGGATAATGTTTGTGCAAATAACCTGATACTTTTCACACAATCTGATCAAATTACAGATCATGTGTCCACACTTTGCTTACAAGGATCCGACAACATTCTGTTCTGTTTGGTAATTATAACATCAGCCAATGAAATTTTTGAAGGTGTGTGTACCATTACACGAAAGAATCCTGAAGGTTCTTTAAAACAGAAAAGTAGAAGAGATCATTTTCTGAATCTTGTTAAGGAAGTGTGGATCCATATTTCTATAAGGTATTTTTTCACATATCCTATAACTTTTAAATAATTTGAAAGTTAAAATCAAGCTGTATAAAAAAAAAAGAAGACATAAATTATATTAAAATGTGGTGACCTTATTGTGATACAAGTTTCTGTGTTCCTTTTTATAATTTTCCAACAAAATGTTTTTTGTATGCTCAATGAATTTAATTGGTCTTGATCATGATCAGAAAACTACAAATCTTTTAAAAAAATGGACAGATTTGATAAGAAGGTAAAGGGGGAGAATAAACAAGTCATAATAGAATCTCTTTATAATTAGCAGAAATAAAGTTAATATTGTGATATTTCAAGCTACCTATTGTGCATAATTATCATTAATTATTAAGATTGAATATTTTTAAATTGGATATTCAATTAAATCATGCAGAGGATTCTGAAATAAAATATGAGAAGATATCTCTCAGACAATTAAATGTAATGCCAAAATTTTCTCATCTAAGTGTCAGTGTTTGTAAGAATCTGGCAATTTACAAGAATTTCAAAACATGGCAGAAAAAAACCTGCCGACCTAACCATCCTATTTTGAAGTTACCCTCATCCTGAGTTAGAAATGGTAGGTCTTTAGTTTCTGTGTGTCTGGTAATTTGAGAAATTTCTATATAACTTTTGGTTAGAATGATAGCAAATTATGGAGTTAGCTCCCCTTAATTGTTAACCAAATTATATCTTGAAATACCAGAACAGGAAAAGGAAACGAATGTTATAATATATTCGTGTACCATTATACATTATGAATTTAAATTAATGTAAACATGAGTGGGTTTTTTTTCTGTCATATTTTTACCACTGGCTGATTCTTAGGCAGATTGGCACTTAAACAAAAAGCTAAACAATTAAAGTTTTGTTTCATGATTTACTTATTATTATTTTATACTGTTCATTTGCTGCCCAGAATGGCAGGATACTTCCTTAACTATATATCTTCAATCTTTTTTTGTAACAAGCATTTTTGTAATAGCTTTTGTTTGTATATTAACCATTCTAATGAAACAATTGTTTGTAACATTCATTGTGATTGGGTAATGCAACATTGTTTGTAATGGTCATTGTTATTGGATAATGCCACAAATTGTTTTAAACATTTGATTTGATTGGATAATGTCACAATTTTTTGATTGATTCATGGATTTGTACCTCTTATCACCCTATATTTGGTTGTACTAACTCATTAAAATTTATTTGCATTCCACTTTACAATACATTTATGTACATTAGGCGAAAAATCAAATATGAAATGTTATAGTTGCTCATGACTTTGTTTATTTCATATATTTTTATATTGTTTGTTTGTAAATTATATATTTTTGATTTACTTCATGATGCAATGCCATCATGTGGAATTAACTACATTCAGGTCTAATGCAAATCATAGTCCTTTGCAGCAACTTGGTGTGGGATATAGAGAAATACCAAGCAACCTTCCATCTGTCAGGCTGTCTGGTCTTCTAAGAGCTCACACAAATGATTTTTGCTAGAGTTTTAGGAAATTTATACCAAAGGTTTTTTTATCAGCAATGTCTCTCACAAAAAATTAAAAAGCAGACTTGATAAATTATTTTTGCTTGAAATATAACTTAGTAAGAAATGTAATTCTATGGGAAATTGCATTTTAATGGCTCTCAAGTCGGCTGTCTTGCTAGATTTTTATGAAATTTATCTGGAAACTTTATATCAGTAATGTCTTTGATGAGTTTGAAAATCAGTGCTGATCAACTTTTTTTTTACAGGAATTATGTCCCTTTGAAGTATAAATAATATTGATAATTACAATGTAAACACCAATCGCGCCTACATTTCTTGTCAAATTTTTAAAGGTTTATATCTGACAGCAAAGTGTTGGACACCTTAGATTATCAGTACTGGTCCATTATTTTTACACCAGTTACGCCCCTTGGACAATTAAATTGTACTGAAAATGTGAACATTTTTTCTCTCCTATGTACCTTGTAGGACATTTATGAAAAAGCTTAAAAGAGCCCGAAAAATATATATTTGAGTTATTGCCCTTAGACGGATAAAATATGTCCATTAGCAGGGGACATTAAAATGATTTATTATTTTCTTAGATTGCTGACATATTTATACTTTAACATATGAAGCTATTATGAAGAACAGCAATTCAGAATTATTATTTGCTTGTTCCCAAGGCAACAGTCTACAGGAAGACATGTCACTCTAGCCAGACGCATTATTCTGTCTCTTGACTTGACCAGATTTTGCTGTAAATCCTTAATTAAGTGCTATGTGCATAGTTTGATCCAACCAAGGATAGAGTTACGTCCAGTACAAACATAGACTTAAAACATATATATTTCCTGCATTTCTGCCATGCATGCAGCATTAAGGAGTAAAAGCTAGGAGACAGATAAAAATGTTTGAGTAGGTTGACATGTCTTACTGCAGACTTACCTTTTGAGGAAGAACATTAAAAATCAGTCTGTTTGTCTAGTACAAAGCAGGGTAAGCTTCATATCTCCTTTACATTTTACCATCTTGTATATCCTGTCAGATTTTTATTTAATATATTAAACCATCACAATGATTCTGAAAATACAGTAATTGAGTCTCTGTGAAGTAGTATTAGTTAGGTGTGGTGATTGTTATCTTTACTTTTTAATAACATTAGTGTCATTTGTGACATGGAAACCATTATCATTTATACTGTTACAGGCCTGATAGTGATTGTAAACACAGAAAATTTAATATGAAAGTCATTGTCATATAATTTGTTATACTATTGGGTGTGATTTGATATTCTAAAATGAGTAATTGACTGGCAATGACGTTATTACACTTTTAAAGTGTGATGCAACATTGATAATATTGACATTGTCATTCTATTGGATGTGATGTGATGTGACATTGATAATATGAAAATCATTGATTATGTCAGTGACATTGTCATACTATTGGATATGACGTGACATTGTTATATGACAATCATTGATTATATCAGTGACATTGTCATATCATTAGATGTGATGTGACATTGTTATGTGAAAATCATTGATTATATCAGTGACATTGTCATATAATTGGATGTGATGTGACATTGTTATGTGAAAAACATTGAGTGTCAGTGACATTGTCATATCATTGGATAAGATGTGACATTGTATAATTATGACAATCATTGATTATATCAGTGACATTGTCATATTATTGCATGTGATGTGACATTGTAATATGACAATTATTGATTTTGGCAGTGACATTGTCATTTTCTTGGATGTGATATGTGTTACATAGTTATACATGTGTTATTGTATTTGACCTTTGACATTGTAGGTAATATGCATGAATGGGATGAAAACAATTAGAAATGACAATGTAATTGTTAGGAGTGAGTGTAGGGCAAACAGATATTTTTATGTTGGATGAAGATTATGTTGGTGTTAGCAGAAGCAATCATTTTTTTTATGGTATTTTGTTATGAATGATTATGTGTGATTGTTATCATTGACTTCTGTGATAGATCTATGTAGGGGCAGAATGCTATTTGTGGGATCCTTCTGACGTAATTAAATATTTGTCTGACTTAATAAAATATTTATTTATATAATGACATGTCTGTTTCAGTTTCTTCAGTTTTATAAATTGATGTTATGGATGTCAGTTTCAGTATTATAAATTGAAATTTTAACATTCATTTCTTCTATTCAAAATTTAAGGAAAGTGGCATCAGTCAACGATGACTTCTTTGTTTATGTTTTTATACGACCGCAAAAATTTTTTGCGGTCGTATATTGGTATGACGTTGGCGTCGTCGTCGTCCGAAGACACATTGGTTTTCGCACTCTAACTTTAGTTAAAGTGAATGGATCTCTATGAAATTTTACCATAAGGTTCAATACCACAAAAGGAAGGTTGGGATTGATTTTGGGGGTTATGGTACCAACAGTTAAGAAATTAGGGGCCAAAAATAAGCATTTTTGTAACTTCCAGACATAGCTTGTGTGTTAGTGTATGGATCTCTCTGACATTGTACCACAAGGTTCCATATCACACAGGGAATGCTGGGATTGATTTTGGGGGTAATTGCCTCAAAAATATTAGGAATTAGGGGCCAAAAAAGGGGCAAAAAACAAGCATTTTTCTAGTTTCATGACAATAACTTGTGTGTAAGTGTATGGATCTTTCTGAAATTAAACTACAAGGTTCCATATCACAAAGGGAAAGCTGGGTTTGAGTTTGGGGGTAATTGCCCTAAAAGTTTAGGAATTTGGGGCCAAAAAGGGGCCAAAAAACACATTTTTCTAGTTTTCAGACAATAACTTGTGTTCAAGTGTATGGATCTCTCTGAAATTGTACTGCAAGGTACCATACCACAAAGGGAAGGCTGGGATTGAGTTTGGGGGTGATGAATCATAAGGGGGTTCAAAAAATTGGGGAGGATTTTTTTTTTTTCCCTTTTTTTTCTTTTTTTCCTTTTTTTTTTCTTTTAAAATTTTACATTTTAAGTTGGTTTTTTCTGATTTATATTTAAAAGCAAATAATAATGATATGGTAGGAGATACACACCAAACAGGATGTGTAAATTATTATATAATAAGTATTGTGCAATAGCAAGAAATTTTCAACTGCACAGTATTGCACAATAGCAAGAAATCTTCAATTGAACAGTATTGCGCAATAGCAAGAAATCTTCAATTGCACAGTATTGCGCAATAGCAAGAAATATCCAATAGCACAATATTGCGCAATAGCAAGAAATTGTCAATTGTACAGTATTGCGCAATAGCAAGAAATATTCAATTGCACAGAATATGCAAAAAAAGATACTTCGTATAAATTGCTTATTTCTTGACCAATTTCAATGGGGATTTATTCTTGAATTCTTGGGGTTCTTTAATATGCTGAATCTAACCGTGTATTAAGTTTTTGGATTTTGGGCCCCGTTTTTAAATTGGTCCACATTGAGGTCCAAAGGGTCCAAAATTAAACTTTGTTTGATTTCATCAAAAATTGAATTATTGGGGTTCTTTGATATGCTGAATCTAACCGTGTATTTAGATTCTTAATTTTTGGTTCCGTTTTCAAATTGGTCTACATTAAGGTCCAAAGGGTCCAAAATTAAACTTAGTTTGATTTTAACAAAAATTGAATTCTTAGGGTTCTTTGATATGCTGAATCTAAACATGTATTTAGATTTTTGATTATGGGCCCAGTTTTCAAGTTGGTCCAAATTGGTTTCCAAAATTAAACTTTGTTTGATTTCAACAAAAATTGAATATATGGGGTTCTTTGATATGCTGAATCTAACCATGTATTTAGATTTTTGATTTTTGGGCCCCGTTATCAACTTTGTTCACATTGAGGTCAAAAGGGTCCAAAATTAAACTTTGTTTGATTTCATCAAAAATTGAATTCTTGGGGTTCTTTGATATGCTGAATCTAACCATGAATTTAGATTTTGGATATTTGACCATAATAGGTGAATGTCCAATTTAAAATTTTTAAGTTGTAAGACCACATTCATTCTGTGTCAGAAACCTATGCTGTGTCAAATATTTAATCACAATCCAAATTCAGAGCTGTATCAAGCTTGAATGTTGTGTCCATACTTGCCCCAACTGTTCAGGGTTCGACCTCTGCGGTCGTATCAAGCTGCGCCCTGCGGAGCATTTTATTTAATGTTGACATACTTTTTTTTTTGGAAAATGACGCTATCAGCGGCATGTTTCCGATACCATTGACCAGAACTAACGGAAGTTGATTATGCCTCCGCCTACCGCACTCGGTTTCATATTTACTATTTTACATACTATTACTAACTGGAATCTGCTTGTATAACGCTACACTTTAACAAAGTGTTGTAGTCGGACGGGAACCAGTTTACATACGTTATTTTATTTACCAAAAAGATATCTTGACCTGTCCATATGTTTTTTGTTATTAAATGGTATTTGGAGCTATCCCTTTGTTATATTTTTCACATTTATTCGAGCTTTCACTTTTATGCACATGTCTTACAATCGTAAACAATCGGTATGTATACATGATAAATAGATCCGTTTTGTTATGGTGTTGGACTTTTTACCCTCCAATGATCAGCAATCGCTAGACAAAATAGTTCTCCTAAATAATGTCAGCCTTTCATGCCATTTCTACTTTACAATCATTAAAAAAGTAATAACCGGAATCATTTTGATATTCATTGGATAGAAACTGGTCTTTATCCAGATTTACGAAGATTTTAATAATCGGAAATTAGTAATACGGTTATACCCACGCGGTGCGTATGAATCTTTGTTTACAAAGTTATAGCAGCAGAGTCTGTAACTATATCAATATTAATTAACTACACTGTTATTGTACTTAATATGATGAAAACTGCATATGCAATATGATGTCAACTCGGCCAATACAGATTTTTTTCCGTATTGGCCGAGTTCTGATCCGGCCAAAACAGGATTTCGGAACGTCTCTAGTTTTTAGATCGTAAGTCAGGATAAACTCAAACTGAAAGTAAACAGTTGTTTGTACGACGCAGTTTTTATTTACTCACCATAAACAAGCTGAAACGTTCAGTATGGCATATATTTTAGGTTAAAGACGGTCCCATTCATTTGAAAAGCATTTTGAAAGTAGACGATGGAATTATTTCAGGTTTGGGGAACGAGTAAATTATCACAAAGTTCATTTCTTGACGACCTCATAATTTCATCATGTCGATGGTACAAATCGATTTTTACTGTTCACTTTCGCTTCTCATGTTTTGTAAACGGTCTTTTATTTTTAAACCCGAACAAGGCATATGCATTCTGTAATTGCGCAAATCTTCGTTCTTTGGTCAATTGGCTTATGGATAGTTGTATCAATTTCAACCCTTACATTATTTTTTTAAAAATATATTTGCATTACACATGCAATGGCAGTACCTTTCCAATTACTATTTATGTGTTGTGTCTAAATTAAAGTTGTAACACTTTATAGTGACTGGAAAGGGTAGATAAATTCATCAGATGAGAACAGGCTGAAGATACATGGAAACGGCACCAAATCATTAGATATTGCATCTTATAAAAAGAAACTGAGATTTGGATAGTTCCACTTCAAGGTAAAAATGTTTATCTCTTGTGAAATGGAATAAAAAAAATATTGTAACACTGTAGTTAATTAATAAAGATACTATTACATGTATTTCTGTATTGGCCTTATTGTTGGTCCTCGGCATGCAGTACACCAAGACATGACCCAATAACAAAGACAATACAGAAATACTTACGTAATAATATTATAGAATGACAGTATGGTTCAATAGCGGGAATCAGCCCCTCAACTACTTTTTACATAAATATTAACTTCTGGCTTCAACTCCTTGTTCGTCTTGTCTGGAGATCTTGTTGTAGTTCCAGTTAGGCAAGCATTTTAGAGACGTATCCCGTCCATCCTCTCTTGACTTGTAATTTCTGGTGATAGATTTTGCCGCTTGACGTTGTATCCTTTCAAGCTTTTTTTTTTTTTGTTACCGTGTAGGGGTCCCATACTATGGCTCCATATTAAATTGTAAGATCCATTCCTAAAGGTCTAGATCATTGTTCTAATCTGACACAAATTTCAATAACTGGAATGCTACCCAAGTTGAATATATGGTGACCTACTAGAACAGCATTATCACTATTGAAATTGTGTTTAATACCATGATTGTTCAATGTCATTAACTTAAATGGAGACCGACATTTGACCCGAAAGATGATGTGGGAATGCAAAATCAAAAACTAACTAACTATGATATATGGTTAAAGAATGAATATCAATTACATGGGTCAACATGGTGAAGGGCAGAGTTGTTATGAAATAACAATATGGCAGAGAAGTGGTTTCAAGTTTCATATAAAGCGACCTGACTGACATGAAATAAAAAATCAAAGGAGTATCCCTATTTGTCTAATCTTCAAGGTGAAATAAAACTAGTAAAACAATATTATACTATTGTCTAAATCTACAGAAATATTATTTGCTTCAAGTAACAGAAATAACTAGGTCACTAGTAACTTATTTAATGAGTACATGTATGTTGGGTATAAGAGCTTGATAACAACAGGCTCTTCATAATCATTTGGTTTGAAAAGGATACTAGTAGTCTATATTCTTGATTTAGAAAAATGTAATTGCAAGACAAAATTCACATTACTTAGAATACTTTAGATCATTCAGGTAGTCTTTATTTATATGTACAAAAGAACAGCCAGTAGTCATTGGATATTGTAGATCATTCAAATAGTCTTGA